AAAGCCTCTGCGTGCTTCCGTCAGGGCCCAAAAAGAATGACTGAGATCAGCCGGGGAAAAACTGTTCGGTAATTGCTATAGAAAAAAGTCCATATTACATATTAGACGATTAGTCTAACTAAATTTATTGAGATATTAGTTAAATTTAAAAAATAAATAAAAAAATATTGTAATATTTTGATGTAACTGAAATCAATCAATAACCTTGAAAATATGATATGTTGATGCAAAATTATGTCCTGAAAAAACTGGATACAAATTTCTTGAAATCGGCTATTAAGTCAAATAACACCATTAAAATCCATTGAACATTTTTTATTAACCACTATTGGGTAACACGTCGTTAATGCATTGGTCAATCTTCTAATTATGACGTCAAGTATTAATGTTTTGCGATATCATCTTCCATTGTGATGTCATAGTTCATGGGAATTGTTTTTCTAACGAATAAAACCAGAACAATGTATTCCCAAGAAAAACATACAGTTTTCTAGATACAATATCAGAAAGCTGTGGGAGTAAATGGGCACACAGCTTGTAATGGTTGATTATCAGGTTTAGCTAACTCTCGTTACTTATTTTCATATTGTAAAAGACACCCGCAAAACCTCATGTCTTTTTAAATTTAAATAACTGGAGTAATAAACATGATTTTCAACCATCACTCATTGGGGATCAAACCTCTATGCTTCATAGTATAGAAGCCTTATGAGATATCTTTTTGCTCACCGTTGGATTTAAATAATAATATTTAACAACAAAAAGGGTTTAATGATGGCATGCATACAAGTGGGTACTATAGGGAGATTTTGAAAGTGTGCACTCGTGATATTTATGCATGCTTAGCTAAAAGTATGACTATATCATTAGGATTTCTTCATTATTTCTTTATTGGTCAAGAACGACAAGAAAACAATGTTGCTCTTGCCAATTTCCGGACATGAATCATTCATACGAGTATTTATGTTATCGTCAAACATTTTGTGACAAGATTATATATATATATATATTTTACATTTAATTGTCTTTTTAAAATAAAATTTCTCATTTTTTTTTTTTTTAAAGTTTAATTTCAAATTTCTTAATTAAAGAGTACGCTCATAACATCTGTTTTAACAACTCTTGCGCCAAAGTTACATGTTTGAGGTAAACAGAAACTCATTAACATGATGCCGCGGTTAAAGTAGTTAAATTGAATACGCACTTTTTTTAAGATATGTCTGTGTTGTGCAACAACTATAAATCTAAATTCTGTTGTTTATTGTACAGGGTTTACACAGTACCTCATTTCTTTGTCTCTAATTAAGTTTTTATCTCTTCCAAACTTGTACTTCTACCCCCCCCCCACACACACCCCCACACATACACACGCCCACACCACACACCCAACCCCCCNACAGGATGTTAGTACGAGTTAAACACTGATATGATATCAGCTGTCTACTTAATGACATCAGGAAGCTACTAGATAAATAGTGATCTACTCATATCAATTATATAAATGACTGTTACTTAATACAATACAAAAGTGCTCAAGTCTAAAAAGCAGGTATATGTACTTTTATATTTTGTGCACCATTTAGTAAGTTCTGACTGACTCTTTAACTTAACCTGTACAGGTAAGAACAACAATACACGATCTGGTAATAATTCCAGATAAAATCTGTTTTAATAGAACTCATCAAACGTACAAATGTATAATAAATACATATCACAACTGTATAAAATCTCAACACGAACTGTTCAATATCTCTATGAATTAATATTATTCGAATAATATCTAGTAATAAGAAAAGTAATTTTATACTGGAACCATTGTAGTTTTGTATCTTTGGTAATTTTAAAGGGTAGTAAATAAATTGTTTTCCAGTTCAAATATTGGAAAATAGGATTTGTGGTTTTGTGGTTTTGCTCTGTAGGTGTATAATAAAAATCACTACTGCCTTTTTTACTTTTAAATAGAATATGAGTGTGAAAAGGTAAATAAGGTCTTACAATAGTATTGTTATTCAGATATACCTTACATTTTTTAATCACAGATTTAATGGATGCACACAGACTATAGTAACTTAAGAAATTATTCGATGTTACAGAAAACTTGTCTTTGAATTCTTCAAAATTTAGAAATGTTCCATCTCCTTTGATTATGTACACTACTGTATTTACACCTTTCGTACGCCAGTCTTCAAAATAAATGTATTGATCCCTATCTTAAAGTTAAAATTGTACTATAAAGGGGAGGTAAGAAGGTCAGTTTTGGTTCTTATTTTATTTAGTTTTGACACTTTTATCCATGTTTGTAAGACTTCTTTCCCAAATAAATTTGTTATATTTAAGTTTTCAAAGAAACCTTCACCAAATTTTGAAAGACACTGTATGGGACATATTTCATGTTCAAAAATATTTTTTCATTCCCTATCACTAGATGTTTATAGTCTACATACCCAAGTAGATTTTAAACTATCAATAAAGATCCCTATATCTATCATTTTTAAACCTCCTTTGTTGTATGGTTTAATTAGAGTGTTCCTTTTCACTTTATCAAAAGGTCCTTGCCATATAAATCTAAAACAAGTAGAATTCAATGTTTTAATAAAAGCTCTGTCTGGATTCGGTATAGTCATAAAGAGATGAATCATTAATGTTTTCAAAACAGTTATTCTACCTACTGGTGTAAGTATTAGACCATTGTAGTAATGATTTATCTAAATTTTGTATAGCTTTATTATAGTTAATGTTAATCATTTCATCTAAGTTGACAGAGTAATCTATTCCAAGAAGGTTACATTTTGTAATCCCCCATTTTAATTTCCATCTATGGTGGTAGATGTCCTGACTGATTGTTTTACTTCCTATCCATATTAATTGTGTTTTGTCACTATTTACTTTAAGATCTGATATTTGAGCAAATAATTCTAACATTTTGAGTGCCTCATTAAAAGATTTCCTAGAATCATTTAAAAAAAGAGATGTGTCATCTATCTGCAAACTGTGAGAGCTTATGTTCTGTTTTCCCTGCTTTTATTTTTTGCATTGTTTTTAACCATAATTATTTTAGCCAATATTCCTGCCACAAGTATAAAAAGATATGGTGAGACAGGGTCGCCCTGACGACAGCCGCGTTCTATAGTGAAAAATTCTGATAACCTACCATATTGTATAACAGCTGATGAAGGTTCTTTATTTAGTGCATACATCCAATGTCTGATACTCGGTCCAAAATTAAAAAAAATGATTACTTTGTTTAGAAACTTCCATAATACCGAGTCGAAGGCCTTTTCAAAATCTCTTAACACCAATAATCCAGGAATGACATTATTTTCTGTATAATTCATTATGTCATATATTAATCTAGTATTATCTCCAATAAACCTACCCTTTAAAAAACCTGTTTGTGTTTCTGAAATTACAAAATCTAAAATTGTTTTCATTCTGTTGGCTATGCATGCTGAGGCTTATTTGTAAATTGCATTTAATAATGTAATAGGCCTCCAGTTTTTTTTTAAATTGTCTTGGTTTTTCTCCTGTCATCATACCTACTATTTGAGTTCGTTCCAATGTTGATATTTACATTTTAAAACTTGTGAATGTCTGCAAACCTAACATCTCAATGTGATTTTGTATACAACGGAAGTGAATATTCACATAGTAAACGATGAGTCAGAATAAGGTAAATATTATCCGGATTTTAGAGCATATTGTAAAACATATCCGGATTATGGTCTTGAACTATTCTGTATGCATATGCATTTGATTAATACATACAAATGTATTTTTCATTCGATACATTTCACCCTGTATACATATTGTGGTGAGTTAACTGTTTCCTTTGTTTAATAACAACAACCAACAAAAGAATATTATATGTAATTCATCCCATTTTTAAAGAAAAAATAAAAGTAGAATACAAAAATAAAAACAGCAAAGTATAGTGATACAAAAATGAATATGTTACACATAATTTCATAGGTGTTACTTTATCAAAAAAAAAAAAAAATATTATCAAAGACAAATTTGATTTACTGCTGAACCTCTCATACATGTGGATCTCTTAAATATTCACTGGTTGATTAAGATATATCTCATAATGCATTGTAAATTTAACTGCAATTCCCAGCTGCACATGTTACAGTTGTTTCGTCAAAAGTTTGAACAATAATTACATCGATCTAAAATGTAAGCAGTATCAAACTTCACTTTGTTGTAAGTATAAGGCCAGATGTCTACACATTTTACAATTCGCCAATGTTCATGAAATCGCACAGCTCCGCGGGTTATGTGTCATTCCGTCACCAAGTTCAAGTTCAAGCTCTTTAATACTTTGAGTCTTTCGACTCATCAGTTACATGCAACAAAAGTGCAACATTTACAGCACAAAATACAAAATAACATTGCACAACATTACATACACTCACAACACATAACATCTATAAATGATCTCACTTCTGGTGGAAAAACCGAAGGTGAAATCAGGTAAGTGTATAACATACCGGTGTCCTACGAATATCAGGGAAAGCCTCTCGGGGAAATCGTGTGATGAAAGCAGTTCGATGGTATAGCTTCATTGTATTAATTTAGACAATAGATGTTAGTACAGCTAATAATATCGCTAAATAGAATAACATACGGGGTCAATATACTTAACCATATTGTTTCGTGTAGACTGTATACAACCGTGACTGCTGACGTTGATGGTCAAACAGTTAGGAAGTCTATATCCAGGAAGTTCTGATGAGGCGTAGGGCTGGAAACACAACACATGACCTGTTGGTATGTTACTACCGCCAAGTAATCAAACGACAGCAAACACAAAGGCGTGATACCTCCAATCGCCCATAGTAACTATCGGCGCTTCATCAGGTGTTCTATATTATACGTATTGTCCATATAATTATAGATTAGATACTGTACAATCACCCGCTTGTTTGTATATATCTGTTAATAGCTATTTTGTTTTGTGACGTGTGGAAATTCCAGGTTTTCATATATAAGACGGTTTTCGCTACAAGTCATAACCACTAGATTCATGGTCATGTAGGTGTCAGGTAAGTAAAAAATCACGTTCTTTGAAAAAAATGAGTTATAAGATAATCTACATGCAAGATATATGTCTGTGAGTTAGTTATTTGACACGTATGTATTGATATTTAGACATCCCTATTTATCTTATTTTCTGAATATCTGTATAGACACCTGTTGTATGTTCAGGCAATAGTGATACTATATGATGTTAGAACAGTGTAACGATCATTTTATATTTATCTTGTACTACAGCTGTGTTTTTATATTTATCATTTTCATCACCGCTTCTGTTTACCTCCATCCACAATCAACACCTCATATACACCAATTACTACTGTTATTACTACTTATTTGGTCACAAGTTGAAGACAGGACGGCAAGACTTTTTGTGGTACCCTTTCTGAAAACAATCATGTATTTTGAATCACATATTCAATATATTATACATTGTAGTGATATATATTATACATTGTACTGATATATGTTATACATTGTACTGATATATGCTATACATTGTACCGATATATGTTATACATTGTACCGATATATTTTACACATTGTACCGATATTTGTTATACATTGTACTGATATATGTCATACATTGTACCGATATATTTTATACATTGTACCGATATATGTTATACATTGTACCGATATATGTTATACATTGTACTGATATCTGTTATACATTGTACTGATATATGTCATACATTGTACCGATATTTGATATACATTGTACTGATATCTGTTATACATTGTACCGATATATGTTATACATTGTACCGATATATTTTATACATTGTACCGATACATATTATACATTGTACCGATATATTTTACACATTGTACCGATATTTGTTATACATTGTACTGATATATGTTATACATTGTACCGATATATTTTATACATTGTACCGATATATGTCATACATTGTACCGATATATGTCATACATTGTACCGATATATGTTATATAGTTAAAGTATGGTTATGAGGTATACAACACGTTTCTGGCCAAGGGGAATCAGAAACCTGCTATATCCCTAAATAACCATACTTTAACTGTCTTATTATATCGATACAAAAGCATCAATCTGACAATATACAATAAAATCATGATGAACAGTAAAATGTAATTTTTATATTTAACAGCATCAAAATAAACAAATTGCAGACTATAGTACAACAATATCACTTGACAAGATTGGGGTTAATTTCAACATCTAAATTTGGAGCCCGCCTTCCTCGACGCTTATTGGTCGATAACTCGACCAAGCCACGCCCATCCTCTGAACTAACTCACTTGGTCTAAGTTCTCCCAACTAACGCACCCTTTTTGTGAGCTAATTACCTAATGTGGGGATTTCAAGGAGATAGCCAACTCTATGATATTAATTTCATATAGTGTGAAATAAGCAGAGGTATGATAAAGCATTATATATCATATCATAAAAGATAGGCAGTAATCTAGTCAATGAATGCTTATTTATCATAAAAGATATATCAAGATTGTTTATTTATTTTATAACTTTTAGAAAACAACGCCATCGAAGCAAAAAATTGAAATTCATCGGAGAACTCGCAATGTTCATCCCAAACGATTTAAACAATTCAACGTGCTAACAAATGTGACAATAACAGACAATATGTCGTCTAACCTAGCCACGGTAACGTCTATCATCACATGTAGCAGTGCCTCAGTTTCAATTCTTTGTGGGCTGGCCATTCTGTGGTCATACCGACAGGTTCCTCACATACAGAACTACACCCGATACCTCCTGGTCTGTCTCACGATAGCCGACATCTTTACTGTATACGGCAATTTGATCAGTACATTTAGATGGTTTGTCATTGGAAACAGTAAAGAAACGAACGATGCCTACTGTGTTGCCCAAAGTTTTATAACAACGACTTCAACGCTAAGTTCATTCTTCTGGACGACATCCATAGCCATATATCTTTTTAGTGCGGTCGCACTCCGAGTGAACATTGCTGAGAAACGTACCGCTAAAATCGCCATGACTGTTATTCCAATTGTAATTCCAGGTAAGTCCATGGTATTATTTGTGTGACATTAGTATCTGTGCCAATGTGTTTACCTATTATAATTTTGCTGAAATAATTGCAAAAAATCTATTTATTGATCACATCAGGTTACTTTAATTTAAAGATGGCCGATTCAAACTAAATGTTTAAGGTATCAATGAAAACTGTAATCCTTTATATTTTTGATCAATTTAATACCAAAGAAATTTTAAGTATACATCCGGAAATAACGTAATAAACAATATGACGTCATTGAAACATATTTGTGATAATAAGAAATGCTTCATATCACTGTATTGTATTATTCACTGAAAAGGAACTTCGATTGTAACAATCCAAACCTCTCAACCACTCTTTGAATAATCGATTAGAAATATGGAATATAATTGAAATAATGCCTGCAAATTTTTAAGCAGGCGATTCTTCTATAAGCCAAAGACTTCGATATGATAATTAACCATAAAGTCGGTAGGGCCCTGTTGTCAAAGTTCTTTTATTTATAGATGTCTATGTTACATAATGCACTTTTGTAATGCAACACCTCATTGCTTCCCTGTAGTGGCAATTACATGCGTGGCTTTGGGCAACGATGTCTTAGGCGAAGACAAATACTCCGGGAGTGGACCTTGGTGCTGGATCAAAGGTGACGTCAGCAATAACCTCATGTGGAAGCTAGTGACGGGCAAGGCTTGGGAGATGATGACGTACATGATTACACTTGTGATATCCATCCTGCTAAAATTCTTCAAATGGAGAAAGGTAATACCAAAGGATCACCGAACGGGAATATATAAGTATTCAGCCACTTATGAAATGTGTTATGCCTCCAGTTCTCTATTGCCTTAAAGAACTGAACGTTAGGAATTATCAATATTCAGACACAACATATAATACTTATGAAATGCTTTATGCCTTAAATTCTCTATTATTTAAAAGACTTGGAACACTATTGACACCCAGTACAATTTCCACCAAAACACAGATGAATGAAAATAACTCGTTAAATTCATTTAATTTGACATGTTGTTTAATCTTGAAGTATTCCTGCTATTTTGTATGCTGTGTAAAAATTCTGATCCTATATTAACCTTGATCTATCAGAATTGTCAACGTCACGGAAGGTTTAGATGGAGCGATTCAGATACAAATATCCGAGATGCAGACGACACTTTTGAGATATCGTGGTTGTTTCTACTCATCGCACGGATTTGGGGGACTCTCAGATTTATCTTGCAGGTATGAAATACTTGTGTGTATGGCAATGTAGGCCAGTTTACTGGTTGGAAGTAAGAATGGGCACGTCTATGAGATTCAGTAAATAGCTCAGCGTTAGACATATGAATAGTATGAAATATTACTCTTTGCACAGGTACAGTTGTAAGACATATTATTGTAATATAGCAAAGCGTAAAAGTTAGAAACACCAAGATTTGAAATCATTGCCAATTACAATCTGCTGCATCACCCGATACATCTCCATCTTAACTTTCAGTAATGAGTAACAGGAACGGCTAACACCTAAGCTGTTCGATACACATATATTGCATCTTATTTCCCAATCTTGATAGAAGCATCTCTGATTGCACACATACGATATTGACATGTAGCAATTGATTCGATATTCAAGGACATGCTTCAAAGCTAAAATAAAAAGGGCAAATCCAAAAGCAAAAACGTACAACACAACGTTTAGAAACTGCAGGTTAATAAACTTTTGTCGACAACCTGATCTTTGTGGGAAGTATACTGTGGTATGAAGTATAATGCGGTATGAAGTATAATGCGGTAAGAAGTATAATGCGGTATGAAGTATAATGCGGTATGAAGTATAATGCGGCAGTAAGAAGTATAATGCGGCGGTAAGAAGTATAATGCGGTATGAAGTATAAGGCGGTATGAAGTATAATGCGGTATGAAGTATAATGCGGTATGAAGTATAATGCGGCAGTAAGAAGTATAATGCGGTATGAAGTATAATGCGGCGGTAAGAAGTATAATGCGGTATGAATTATAATGTGGTATGAAGTATAGTGCGGTATGAAGTATAATGCGCGCGGCCCAGTATGAAGTCGGGTGTTTTTGGTTTTGCTCATTGATGTGTCTTTTGGTTCACCGTAACTACACTGATTCTCACTTTAAGAACCATGAAAATGCGTTTAGACAGGCTACCCTTTTGAAAATATCAACTTTTCCTAGAATCATTCAGAGAGCATAACAGAATAATATCATATTTCTAACTTGTACGGTAAATATATGGTAAAAGGGTTTATTATCATCACGTCGCCTTTTCCGCACTGCGGCATCAGATTTTTTTCTTCTAAATTCGTTACCTCAGGTCAAGTCAAATGGAGTATAACATAGACATTTCTTAAACCTCTGGACAGCTCTATCTTACACACGCAGAACTGAGAGAATAAGGCCATACGTTCCGAAAGGATTAAACGTAGGAATTACACATATGAGTGTTAATGGGACCATGAATTACTAAATAGACCAGATGATCAGTTGACACTTTACTCATTTTACATGCGAGACATAGCATTAGAACAGTCAGCTGGTCAGTAGCTAGTTCAAATGTTTGCTGGTAAAATACACAAATTATGTGTACAAGGCAGCACGTTTTCAATAATTTATTAATTTGATGTTATTTGAGGAACATTTTAAAACAAAACCAATAAAACATAAAGGAAATAAGGTATATGAAACAAATTAAAAATCCCAGATTATTACTTATATTTACCTTGTCACTATAGCGATATTTCGAGGATAATGTACGTGTCCTTGTGTCCCAGTTAGATATACATAAACATTTATAACATTGCTGTCATTGTACTACATATAGAAACATATACATTTAAACAATTCTTAACATTCTATGATATGTATCAAATGCGTTTCGTTTTGCAGTCCTTCGATGTTCACTTAGAAGAATCTGTAAATAACGGGTTGCTCTATATGCAGTGTTTTGGCGACAGCTCCCAGGCTTTCTGGAACTTCATGCTCTTCTTCACTCTTGATGCAGAATTACGGGAACATGTCTGTCAGCAGATATGTTGTCTATCAAGGCCTAGAAGAACTAGTACAGTGATAGATTTCCATGGCGATGCACAACAGACAGGCTTTTAATTGGAGTATATTTATAGCTTTGTAATTGTTTGAATAGCCGGTGTGATTAGTACATTGATTAACTGACTATGATGAGTTGTTATGTTCTTAAATGTTTTTGTTTTTATGTTTGTTTTTGTTCTTGCAAATGATTTTTATATTTCTAGTGTCAGTTTGATATCTTTTAAGAAATGTGTCCTGTATCTGATCTTATTCGTAACGAAAGGTGATAACAGATGGAATCCTGAGGGGAACAAACGTTGGTACATCATGAATGAAAGGTAGTATATATGTAAAGAAATGATAAGATACTAACAACCGACTAAACATCTATCAGTTCCTCTTCGGGTTTATTTCAAATGATTGTTCCTTTCGTCATAATCACATATCATACAATAGTAACGTGACGTCACAGTATACACAAGATTGGTGGACAAAACGGCGCACAATTTTACTGTGGCCGGTTGAGGCTAGTGTTAATACTTTGATGGATTGGTCTTAAAGCTCAATGTTATCCTACTGAGGCTATAGAACACTGCATACGGAAGGCCACTGGAAAGGTACCCTTTACATCCCGTCCACAAAAATAAAAGGATGAATTAAAGTCAATTCCATTGGTTTCTAATTTCGATTCATGGAATTTCAATATATTTCCTACGATAAAGAACAAATATGAACAGTAAAAGCAAATTACTGTAGCAGATGTATGAGAAAAATGTTTGATAAGCATGCTATTTTACCTAGATGACGCCAACCTAAGAACTTGACACGTATATTGACAGGCTCCAATCTCGATATTTCTTATATAAATAAACTTGAAGAGCCCTGTCAAGATTGAACGCTGCTAGTTGTGTGGTCAGATCTTATTATTTTCTATACCAGTGCAAAGGTCAATGTCAGTGATGTCCATGCTAATAGGTTAATAAGATAATAAAATAAGTTATATAACAAACAAATTCAAAAGAAGGAGGCGAATGCATACTTTAATAAAGTTAATGTTACAATCTGATTTAACTTTCTGTTACGTTTTACAAATACATTTCGCCAACATTGGAAAAGTAAACAGAAACTATATGCCAAATCGTCGATAAACACGGCTCAAATCTGAACTCTTAGTCGATACTGAAGCATCATCAATACCCGGTTACAAGATTCGAACCCTAAGTGAACAACCAATAACTGAGGAGACACTGAAACGCAACGAAATCATCAACGGCGTTTAAAAACTTATAGGTTTATAATGAAATTAATATTTGAAACGAATGCAACTTTATCATCCCAATGTGAACGACATTGTTCAGTCACCCTTGAGGGGTATCTAACAACTTGATAATGTGTCTTTTCGAACAATTGACTTTATATGGACTCAATTTATACAAAATCGTTCCAGCAAAATGAGAGAAAATGCTGATAGCTTATTTAAAATCGCACCAACAAAATATAATTTAGGCGGTCACCTATGGCGTGTCAAACGTTTCAATATTTACAATTATTGAATACAAATATAAAATATTGCACATATATTTACAATTATCGAATACAAATATAAATTATTGCACATATATTTACAATTATTGAATACAAATATAAAATTTCGAACAAAAGTATAAAATTATTGAATATTGTTTGACACGCCATAGTCACCGNCAAAGTTTGACACGCCATAGTCACCGTTTAGGGGATACTTTATGGTGTGTGACGGATATAAAACAACATTAACAATCTGTATACTTCGTCGTTCAGAGAAAATCAGTAACCTGGGTAATGTTTAACATGCTAATGTTTGCTTTGTTTCTTCATGTAAGCAGATAAATATGTATATATAAGTATTGCTCTGTAACAGGTACATTTATTGACAGTTTTGTTATTGTGTAGAATGTGAAAATAAGTTGAATGGAAATAATATGTTGAAAGAAAAATATGTACATGGTTACCAAATGGAAGAATCTAAATAACTATTTCGGTATCAATACTCATCATGCAATTGTAAACAGTGCGCTGAACTCCAGATCAAAAAGGAGCTATGCTTGCACGACCAAGGAATAAACTGTTAAATGATATGATGTCAGTTTCGAAAAGAAATTGTTTTTCTTTCATATTTTTGAAAGATGTGTACATTGATTGACGGATTAGAAAACGTTCATATCTTACTGTTTAAGGAGTCTCCGACGCATGTACTCTGTATATGATACCATATAGCCCAACTTTATAATGAACGGTTAAGGACCAGACCCACCGTACTAAATACTGTGATATTTATGAAAGTACGTTGGTTCTTCCGTTTGGGAGACATATTTGAAATGCATATACAATTTTGTAAAAGATTCGGATGCAATTTTTCCAATGTCTATACTAATAAATTTATGCAAATCAATAAAAAAATGAAATAACATTTAGTTTTAAATAAACAATACTGTTAATTTGTTTCCCAAAGCGGCCTGAAAACCTTGCCTATAGCTTACTGTGATGAAAGGATATCAAGCATGCTAAATATATATGCACAAGTAGTTTTTCTTCTTTAGTTTAATATAGCGGCACGCAAAATACAATAAATAGAGTCACCACACTCGTTTAATTGACTTACTCGGACATATTAACAAATCACAAGGGGCCATATATATATAAACTACGAACGATTTCTTCTGACAGGTCATCCATGTCAAGACGACGATATATGGCTTATCCCTTGTCCGGATGAAGGGCTATCTAGACTGATAAAACCAAAGACCTTGATTCACTGTGATTGTCGCAGATGTAAATTGACATCTGGACTGCAGTTTTCTTTAGCAGAAGGCTGTCAGTTTTACCGAATAAAAAATAGATTCTTCTTTAATGTCGCCGGGGTAAATGAAGATAAAACTAAAAACAATTCTTCCTAAGGTTTCATATATCTAGACTAATGACATTTGGCTTGTAAGTTTCGGATAAAAGGATGATTGTCGAAATAAACGACCTTAACCCACTTTGTAGTTCAGGGTGTGTTAGAGGTGTGGACACTTAAAACGACTTCTTATCAAGGTCAAACATGTGGTCCTTTGAAGGTTTCTAAGTTTCCTAGAATATTTCCAGTCAATCAGAGTAATTAAGTGTGGCTTTTAGCGTACTTGGATGTGCAATCAACAAATTATCAAGTGTATTATCCTGACAATAGAGAATCCAGTTGAGAATTAAGACGTCTTCTGCCCGGTGTTTAAACGCCAAGGTCGATATTGAAATCAAAGAACAGAACATCATGAACATGTCGCTCATGACATGAACACACACGTTCGTGATATATATATATATTGTAAAGCACGCACAAGAACACTCATTAAAGTCCAATGATTAATTATCATCATCATATAATCTAATATAGAAAATATAACAAACGTTTTTATTGAATGCCAAATATATTTCCCGAGTATGGCAAAATGTCGCTGTTTTAGGAGTTCATCAAGACGCATGAAAACAATCTATCAAACAAGTGTATAATGCACTCAACTAGAAATCCATTAAATGCTCTATAATTTATTTTGGAAGTACAATAAAACATGTTAGGTGGTCAGGCATGCTAAGATTGACGCCAGATTTAAATGACGTCACGCTAAACATTTCAAATTGGCTATTCAACGAAAATTCAACGAAAATCTGTAAAGGTCTGCTGACAAAAAATTGCAGGTAAGTAAATTCTTTAGCATGTGTAAGGTAGGCGTACCAAAACAATTACTTATTATATTGTCGCCTCATCTTCAACTGAAATGAAAAGCTAAAATATCTAAACCTTGATCCAATGGAGATATTTTGTTTGCTTATCTTTCTCCCATCTACTTTCCTACAATAAAAACTGTTGTAATACTGTATCAGATGCACTGCACCTTCATCAGTAACCGCACAAAATTGATGACGCTATCCCATAGGGAGGCCGGACACCCTAGGGTTAATATGAAGTAGGATTTGGAAATGATCAAATTTTTGTCATGTTTTGCATTTTGTGAAAAAATTAAGCACATCATCACAAAAATGAACAATAACAAAACGTCAAGTGTAATTGAGGCGTTATTGTTTTTCAATGTGTTGGAGTTGTAAATGAAGCAGATGCGTACTTGGCAGAAATAGCGCATGCCAGGAGATGATGGATCGGTTCGGAATATGGCTTATTTACAGCTGAGCAATAACACAAATAAATTTCTTCCGTCTGAGCGATACAGACAGAATCTAGACTCGTCGGTGACCATCACACGCCTCCATCGGCGCATCCCAAACCTATTCGTGCCATGTCTGCGCATCCAGTCAAGACGCACTTGCCGCTTCCGTGGTGTCAGAGGTGACCCGACGTAAGGCCGGCGCGCTATGATTCTCTCGGCACGCAAGCGGTTCCTGGCAGTTTGAGGACTAATGGGTCTGCCATGAGTACCTAAGGTATGCGACGCAGTCGTCTCTATAACCGACTTGAATCTGTTGCGCAAGTGCGACAATCCAATCGCCCTGTCTTGTCGTGCGGTCGTAACACACGTTTCCTTTTTTGTTCAGTATATATGCACATACATGTTTCATATATTGTGCGTTTATGTTTTTGTTCCGGATATATGCACACACATGTTACACATCTATTGTAATATAAACTACACCAGGAAGTTAATCACAAATACATGACATCAGGTATCTATTTTACTATGTCAGGAAGTTTGGTATTGGTAAGAACTATTCACGCATGTGAACTATGATAACCAATATTACGTTAGGTGATGGTGCCATTATTACAGTACACTGTACTACTGGGGACTTGTAATGTATCATATCAACACATTATCAATACATTTCCGAATAACAATAGGAAATCTGGTAATTGACCTAACTATTTTTTTATATCAGCTAATTTTGTTAAATATATTATCTAAATATATACTTTGTTTTAGATCACGAGTGACTAACAGATATTCCTGGTTTTGGTTGGAGACAAACTAACGCCAGCCGTTTGTGGTTTGGGACACTCTGGATCACTTAGTTGCGCCTTCATTTTTGTAATTCATTCTTTTGTGCCATGCAATTTCACCATATTGGGCATACAATGTTGCTCATGTCTGTAACGTGGGTAAAGATGATCATATAATTACATTCTGATGCCTTTTGACTATGTTATTGATGATAGTTGAACTAATATAGCGTCGACACAAAGATACAAAAATCTATGTAGGTATACAAAGAAAACGTTAGAAATTGAATGGCAACCAAAGTTAAAGGGGAATATATCCTGACACAAGCAAAGAGCTAGAGACGAAATCAGAGTAGTATTTCAGGTCAGGATAAATCAAATCAGTCTACAGAAAGCAGTTCGGGGAAAACATTTGCTGATAACTGCCCAAATTACAATTATATGGTTTAATATATGCACCTTGAACACGCGAGGACGAAATCTGAGCTCAAGTCAATAGGAATAATAAAGGAAATTATGCTGGTTACCAACAATCAAGCCACAACGTTTTTGTCTTAAACAAATTTATACAAAAAAAAACATCAGTGGGTACGTCATTCGGGTTTAACTGGAAGATCAGTCTGCTGAAAATTCTTAAAGTCTTCTTAGAGTCTTCTCTAATATGGAAAGAACAACGGCAGAGGCAGAAATACTGCGCGATTGAAATATACAATACTAAAGACAATTGGTAGACACTTTACATCAGGTGTGTTTTATCACTCTTGTAGTCTCAATTAGGTAATATATTAGATACTATTATCGTATTCCATTGTTTGTGTGTGTCCATCAATTATGACAATTATGATGTTCATATACTCGGTTGAATAATTAATATATCTACATTCAATTTGAACTAAACATAAAATAAGAATTTATAGACGCCTTTAAGGTCCTACTCAGATTTTTTTTTATATGAATATGCTCTAAAAAAAGGGGGACAGACCTCATCTGTATAAATGCACTTTTTTGTGAGATAAAAATTTGGGAGTGAATACTTAATACGTGACACCCTATCCATTAAAATAATTCAAGAGAGAAAATCTATTGTGACCCTTATGTGATCTCGGAAATAATTCGTGAATTATGCCTACGACAGGTCAAAACCGTAAACATAATACTTCTGTTCCCCCTGAAACCTGAAAACTTATAAAGAAAACCAGCATTACACATTTTCGTAATGCCGCTGCTGTCACAAGTTCAGAGCACTCCACTTAGGAGTGTTGCAACGTCAAGTTCCACGACAATGTTTTTTCAAGTGCGAAGACAATAAACTGCTTGTTAAATTGTCTGCACCACACTGGATCGAATTCTGACCGTCTGCGAAGCAGCAGACCAATTATGATGACCTTTTGTGAAGATCTCCGCTGTTGAATCTGTGCTATCGTATTGTTCCTGCGAATGAGATCTCGAGAATATTGTTTATATACATAGTTTATCGTGTATCTGCCAAAACAACCATTTTACTTTGGCTCGGACTCACTTTCGTTGCTTTTAACTCAAATGAAGCAATGTTCTGTTCACGAATGAATAAAAATTCCGCTCGTCATATGGTGACTGGAAGCGGAGAGTCTGGCGACGTCCGGTGCACGATTTGCGACTGCTTCGTTCGTGAACCGGACAGTTTTAGTGGCGGTACTGTGATGGGCTGGGACGATATTTGTGATGGTAACCGTAACAGACTTGTTGTTGCAGTGCCTAGGTATTTGAAAGGGAACAAACGCTAAAAAAATGAAGACGGTAATACTCCCATTTGTTACAACGCCATTGCAGAAAATATCAGTGAATTATAAGCAGAAAACCACAAAACCACAACAGTGGTTATTTTTTTTAATGTTATTTTTTTTTTGCTGCGATTCAAAAGGCAATGCACTAGCACACTGTTCCTAATAAAAGGACATATTTTACTGGTATACGAACGAAATATATTCATTTTAATAATATTGATTAAATAGGGGTTTTCACTGATGATTCTTAATTTTAATGTTATCATCATTTTCGTTTTCATGGGAATTAAATTTGTGTTAATATACAAGTGAACTACCAATATTAGTGAATACAGGATAATACCGAGCTATTAACGAAAAAATAAATGAAACACGCGCAACAGTTACTACAATATCATATCATTCTAATTGTGACTTCAGAACATCGCATAATAGTATTTATCTGTGACGTCAATATCATGTAAAGGTAATATCTGTGACGTCAATATCATGTAAATGTAATATCTGTGACGTCAATATCATGTAATGGTAATATCTGTGACGTCAATATCATGTAAAGGTAATATCTGGGACGTTTATACGCGTTATGTTATCTACCTATATATAACATATATATCACGACAATACAAAAAACGATGGAAGTGAAACAAACATTCAAATACGGCTACCAAGGTTACACTAGATTAGAATAGGAAGAAATGCATAATGGAACCTTAGACAAAAGGAGACACTTAAAGTGTAATGCCAATAGAACGTCAGAATGTGGTGAGATATACTCAATTACATATTTTTCTGGTGGGATATTCTGTGATATTACGGGCGTTCACAACAATGCTCAGAAAAAATAATTGACTTTTAAAAAACCTATACTGTGCACAGAGATAGCAATTCCTTCATTATCGGTGGCATGTTTATGTTGTAGTAATGTAAAAGCAAGCTAGGAAGGGTCAACAAACATGACAATGGCGATACGATGGATACATCTACAACGAGAGTGTGTCAACTACCCTAAATATCTAAGTGTCCACGATACAGCTTAGTCTCGGTAAATACACACAGCCGTATACCACGCCATGCTATCATGTCCCCAATAAGATGTCTTCGTTACGTAAATATGAATCAGATTACCTACCTCACTAGACATCGGACGCTATCGCCTTGTAGGAGTTATAATCTCTTTGGTTGTTACGTTAAAGTGGAATATCACCTCAAACTATCATGGTTGTAGCTGCGAAGGAGAAAGAGTCGCCATTAAAAGAGGAAGGTGAGTAACATACAAGTTGTGCTTTGTTATCTATTAGTTTAGAAAATCTTACAGGTAAGTCAGCAATAGTTCTATTAATAAAAAACAAAAATGGAGAATACAAGGGATTTTATTTTCTATCGTTCTAACATTAGTTTATAGAGAATTCACCTTATACATTTATTTGCATTTATAGTATTCGAGTACTGCAATTTGCAATCTTGTAGATGATGTTATGCAGTAATATCGAAAAATATGTAGTAATTAAAAAAAGCAAACCTACAGATTGAAAACGATATATGTAAGGCGGAGGAGAGAACATATGCTTACATCATTTTCAAACAAACTATGCATGTATAGTGCTCCTCACTGGAGAGCTGCAGGTGACTTGCCTTGGGCAAATTAGATTTAGCGACTGCGGATGCGCACTTGAATGTACATATCTAAACGTTTTCATATACATACAGGTTGGAGTGGTACACTATTACAACTGACTTATTGGCCAGGAGTTGTAACATCAGCTGTGACATCGGCTTGTTTTGCAAATAAAAACGAAGCATTACGTCACAAATGTCTCCACGCGCAAATGAACAGATTAATTAAAATAACGAGAAAAGCTATGTTTTGAAGACAATAAGTAAATATAATCATTCATGAAATTAATTTGCATGTGGCATGAAAGGTAAAATAAACATACGTTTTTGTATGAGGATTGGCAAAGTAACGCGACTTATGATGTGGTCTTTGCTAATTTTGCAAATAATCTTTCATCCAAGTTTTATTTCCCAAAATAGTTAATGCATGTATGTTGATTTTTTTTAAAACAAAAAATTCACTATCAAACATATTTGTTCTCTATATCTGTATCCGACCAGAAATGCATGACCTAAGTAATTATGTCAATGTGTTGATGCCGATAATGATTATTAACAGAATCGTTTTTAGCAGTTTTAAATAGTATTAGTGAATGGATGACAAAGCGACGATGATGTAAAATTGAGCTATTCTAAGCGGTTCTCTGAAACCAATTTTTGCTTTGCGTTTACTCTATCAACACAGAATAACAATTTAATTATACATCAACACGAACAAATCTCATTTGTTAGTAATTGTTTACTATGGATATCTACAAAAATATGACACAACAACAGCACACTGTATATGTATACTAAAAATGAAAATATACAACTTTTTAGCACCGTATATAAACTCAAGAAATAAATCTTTAACCCTTTACCGTACTAACAATGTAGCGATAATGTCAAAAACATGCGTGTTAGTCAATACAGTAGATGTGGTTGCTGACAATGTAAAATGAACGTCCACATATGTCACATAACAGTATTACAGGACACAACACTGACTCTTACTCTACCCCGAACTTAATTTCAGTGAAGATGAATGAGTGCAACTACTTTTTAATGTAGTGCCTTGTCTGTATACACAGGAAACATGTAATCTGATCGGTATCGCACAGTTGTGATAAGATACTTTTTCTCATTCGATTACGAGTAACACGCCGAACTTAATGTAATCTGTACTCTCTTGTGACGGCTTTATTCATTTATAAAAAATGTAACATGTAAGATCGCATTATCGTACTAAAAAGTAAGTTACTAGCGAAAGTACAAAGATTTTGCTTGCGTCTATGGGTAATATAAAAATCAGATACACCCATGTTTAAGACGTATGATTAGCATAGCCTCTGTAAAGAAATGGTCATACAATGTCGAAATATTCTCCTGAGTTCCTAACTTATTGGATATCACTTCATCGAGTACATTGTATGAAAATAATCAGATGTATTTTATGCGAATGACGTCGAAGCGTGCTGATATTCATCCAAGAATTTATGTCCATCAGATTTTGTACTCTGATAATTGTGTAAACTTTTGTATTATCAATATAACAGCACGAGAAAAGAACATAAGAATGATGGACTAATAAAATGCCGTGATACAAGTATAAGGCATAATTAGGTAGACCATATACAAGAAATATCAATTGTCGTTCCGTACAAAAGCAAAGTGTATCGCAGTGTCAACAAAACCAGAATTCAAACTCAAAATGGATAAAACTAGGCGATAGAAACAAAGCAAATATTTACATGGAGACCCCCGAGTAGTTAAAAGCCGAATAAGACCAGGTGTTCCGGAAGGGTTAACGTGACATTCACTCAATCTCAAGGACGTCATTGATAAAACATAAATATCGCATGCTTACACCTTTCTTTAAAAAATACAATAACGCCACAACTGCCTCTATTGCCTCTATTCTAATAAGCAGTGTGTTGTACCAGGTTTGCACAAACTCATCGAAAACCTTGTAGTTGTTACTTGTTCTTACCAAGGCTCGGTGAATTACAATTCGCGGGCGTATATTAAACCCTTAGATGTAAATGTACCAGCCACCCTTGAACGTTACGTTACCGGAAATATATTTGAGTGAATGTTTATTCAAGGAAGTTAATACTCTCTGTACAATTATTATGCCATACTTACAGAAGTATTTTTAGGAATAGTTAAAATACTTCCTGGTCATACGAAAGAGATACAAGATCGTACTATGGAGATAAAAGCAAAAAATAACTATCTGGAGGAAGACAAACCATTCGATATAGACCTCAATGACAAAACTTACCGAAATGTTTCTCCTGATAACATTAACCAAGGGTCAAACCCCTTTGGCTTGTTTTAACAAGGGTGAAGCAATACCAGGTTATATAAACCAAGTGTCACCTTCCTTTGTCTATATACACAAAGGATCAACTTTCTGAGACTATATTCATTTAGAGTCAACTTTCTGGGACTGTATTCACTATGTGACAACTTTCTGAGACTATATTCACCCATGGTCAACTTCCGCAGTCTATATTCACATGGGATCAACATCCGCAGACTATATTCACGAAGGGTCAAATTTCTGAGACTATCTTAACCAAGATTCAACTTCATGGGACTCTATCCACTTAAGGTCAACTTTCTGTGACTATATAATAAAGGGTCAACTTCCTGAGATTATATTCACCACGGGTCAACTTTCTGAGACCATATTCACCAGAGGTCAGTTATCGTCAGCTTATATTTATCAGGGGTAAACCTAAAACGACACATATTTACCAGGAGTCAACTTACCAGGACTACATGTAATAAGATCCAACCTCCCTACCTGATATGGACCATACTAACAATGATTAAACTAAATTTATTATACCTATAGTGAAAACCCTGTAATGTGATTGGTCGAGACAAATTGTTAATTTCACACTAACGCACTCGATTTAGCATTGAGTCAGTGGAATGGTACTTCCCAACGTCCTAGCAACGGGCGACAGTGTGGTGTGACAGCGCAAAACAGTGACCGCGCAACGAAGATGCGCGTACGGTTCGTTTTAGCCGTACGTTTTTTTGCATTGCGATTGATCGCAAATGTAGGTCCTCACGCAAACCCTGTCGCTACCGTGTATTACTTGCCGGTGATTATGACGCCTATACCACGCTGAAATGATTGAGATTTCCAAGCGCTTCAATCACTTAGTAGTCTGGGATAAACAATCGGCCGTCTGTTCAGTGAAGTAAAAAGATTTTCAGATGTCAAGTTGGGTGATTTGGATAAAGTTATAAACCTTTGACGGATAAGGATTCGCAGCGTACCGTCAAACGAACATGTACAAAGCAGTTGTGATTGTTATGAAAATTCGAAGTTTCGGGGGGGGNTGAAGAAGAAGCTCGGTAACCCGAACGTCAATATCAACAATTAAATTGTTATAAGGGACATGACATTTCACAGTGTCAACACTAACTTTATTGTTACATCTTAGAGCACTGTTATATTTGTTGATGAAAATACAATATTTGTTACAAATATGAAAACTTTGTTAATTATTGACTGTCGATTTAAGTGATACATCGGGGTGACCAGAGTCACTACCACACTCTAATGAAAGTAGTATCTATATAGTATTAACCAGCGGTCAACACTCTCCAGATTATATTAAACACGGTTTAAGTGATACCTCGGGGTGACCCTAGTCACTGCCACACTCTAATGAAAGTAGTATCTATATAGTATTAAACAGCGGTCAACACTCCTCAGACTATGTTAAACACGGTTTAAGTGATACCTCGGGGTGACCAGAGTCACTGTCACACTCTAATGGAATAGCATCTATATAGTATTAAACAGCGGTCAACACGCCCCAGATTAAGTTAAACACGGTTTAAGTGATACCTCGTGGTGACCCTAGTCACTGCCACACTCTAATGAAAGTAGTATATATATATATAATATAAAACAGCGGTCAACACTCCCCAGACTATGTTAAACACGGTTTAAGTGATACCTCAGGGTGACCAGAGTCACTGCCACACTCTAATGAAATAGCATCTATATATTATTAAACAGTGGTCAACACTCCCCAGACTATGTTAAACACGGTTTATATGATACCTCGGGGTGAGGTATTTATTTGACATTTTTTTATAACAAGGACAAAGATGTAAGCAGACAATCGTAAACTATTTTAAACATATTAAATTACGAAATTACAAAAATAATAAAAAAGGCCTTCAAAATTGTATTTATTTTGTTTAGTATTAATGGCTTCACCTTATGGTCAACCCGAAGCATACCACGTAGTCATGGTGTCTGTTTGTGAGATGATTCATGCTAATATTTCAGAGAACCAGCTTTTATATTAATGTCACATTTGAAAGTAATGCTTGTGTTTCTAAAAAGATAATGGTAAAATAGAATTAGTGATGACAGATTAGTCAAAAACCTAGACGGACAGTTGCTAGTGGCTTTGTTGGCTAGAGCATGACTCCAAAACCTAGACGGACAGTTGCTAGTGGTTTTGTTGGCTGGAGCATGACTTCAAAACCTAGACGGACAGTTGCTAGTGGTTTTGTTGGCTAGAGCATGACTTCAAAACCTAGACGGACAGTTGCTAGTGGTTTTGTTGGCTAGAGCATGACTTCAAAACCTAGACGGACAGTTGCTAGTGGTTTTGTTGGCTAGAG